TGCGCCTTTCCTGGAACTCACTTGGTAGCCCAGGCTGGCCTCGAACTCACAGAGATCCGCCTGCCTCTGCCTCCCGAGTGCTGGGATTAAAGACGTGCGCCACCACCGCCCGGCCATAATTTTTTTTTAAGGAATTAAAACTTCAATAAAGTTCTGTTTGTTTTGCTGCTGTTCTGTCCACCTCTCACAGCCTCCCTTGCATCCTCAGCCTCACATTGGATTCAAGGGCTGGTTCATTCTCATGGAAAGATTGGAGCAGGCACAACACATGTCTGTGCTGACCACATGCAACCTCTGAGGTGCTCTCTGGGCATGACCAGGCTCCACATGCTTGCAGCAGTGATGTGGGTCTGATTGGCCTGCATTTCAAATGCCAATCTCAGTGTTACGGGATATGTGCAATTTCCAGGTCCCAGACCAGCATCCGGGTTTGATATGGCCTCTCCCACTTCTCAGTCCTCCTGACCACACACTCCTGCTCCCTGGAATTACCTCCCAAATAATTCCTGAGCATATGATCTCAGGTTAGATTCCTTTTAGAGGAAACTCAAGCCAAATCAACAATTTTTATATGTCATTAAATACTTGCTGAGTATCTACTCAGCCATCCAAGATTAAAAAAAAAAAAGATGTGAGTAGCCTGGCCCTAATGAGCTTTCAGTCTAGTAAAATTCACAAAATCGTTGCTTGGTCGGTCAACTTTGGCCATAGCTCTGAATCTTCTTCCATTGTTTAGCAATTTCTTGTGGGTTCAAACATTCCACTCTGGAGAGGTCTCTTTAAGACATGAAAGTTCTAAGTTGAAATATTCCCACCAGGAAAGTAGGGAAAATGCTCATGAGCTAAGGGGGTAAACAACTCACAAGTCTCACAATGTTCCTGAAACTAACGAGATATACAGGGCATCTCCCCAAGGCTATGGGAGCAGTGGAAAGAGGGAAGGAAAGAGTAAGCTGAGCTGCCTGGAGAAGGCTCTCTAACCTGTGGAGATGATGTCTAAATCATATGGAGATCTCCAGAGTTTGAGCTTTGGTGAGTTATCACATGTGTCGAGGTGGACTTTTTTGGTGATGTCTTCAGTTGTGTCTGCTTCTGTAGGTAACCCATTCGCGTATACTCCTGTAAGTAACCCCAATAAACTCAGTTACTCCCCACGTTGTGCTTTGATGTCCTTGTCACTTTGGTCCACAACTGAGGTGAGTAGCAGTCTTCTGTCTTACATGTCATCTCCTCAGGCCATCTGTGCATTTTTCTAGTACAATTTAGATTTAGCAAAAGAACCCAAAGCCAGTGTAGCAAGAACCCACCCCCTCCCATCCCTTCCTTTCACACTAGATCCGCATCATCCACAATCCTCCAGGGGATCCCTGATCTCTGGTTTGTATTCAGCAGGTATTCATTCTGCTACGTCAGTTTAGCCAGATTTCCCCCATGCCTCACAGTTCCCCTCTGTAGATTCCTATCCACATCACCAACCTTGCTCCTTGGTTCCAAGGTCTCACTTGCCCAGGTTGATTGGATCTGGAGCTGAGACCGACCTTAATCTCAGGCTGAAAGAACCCAGAGCAGTGGTCCCTACACCTCCAGTCATAGCCCTGAATAAAACCTCCTTCCTGTGCATGCTAGGTCCCCTCTGATGCTGTGAAAAAATACTCCAAACAAGGCAGTTTAGGGGAGGAAAGGTTTCATTTGGTCTACACTTCCAGGCCACAGTCCATCCTTGAGGGAATTCAGGGTAGGAGCTCAAAGTAGAAATCATAGAGGGATGCTGCTTGCTGGCTGGCTTGTAGATTCATGCTTAGCCATCAGAAGAAATACAGTCCAGGGCTACCTTCCCAGGAAATGGTGCACATACAATAGGCTGGATCTGCCTGCATCCATTAACAGTCGAGATGATCCCCTACAGACATGCCAGTAGGCCAATCTGATGGGGTAATCCTTCGACTGAGATTACTGTCTCAGGTGACTCCAGGCTATGTGGCACTAACAGTTAAAGCTAACTAGACTGTGTTTAACTAAACTGTTATTGGTAAAGTTTTACTAATAAAATGTCACCAACTAAAACTGCAGCTAGCAGAGTTACCTTTGAATGGCTTTGAATAGAATTTTTATAAAGGAATTATTTCAGTCTGGGCTATGCTGGAGCTGAGTTCTCATCATAATTGCTATCAGCCACTTCCACCTTCCCAGGTGTGTATATTCTGTCATTTTTACAAGGCTTGCAAAATCTCATGGGCCCCAGCTAGCCCCTCTCTGTTTTTGGAAAGGTGGGAAAGGTTGAGAGCAGATTACAGAGGTTTTTTTTTGTTTTGTTTTATTTTGTTTTGTTAATATTTTCATGAGGGGCGGGGACAGAAATCTTATCAGGCATGCTTTCATGTCTGCTCATGGGAGAAGGGAGATGGCCCCCTTTTCTTCACATATCTCCAAGCTCCCGGGAGACATCCACCCCATAAGTGGTTCCCAGCAAGACTAAAGCCCTGGAGACTTCGGCTCGTGGTGGGAAAGGCCCTGGCCTTTTTCCTGACTCATGCTTCACTCAGGCCATCTGCCAGGGGAGGAAAGGAGGAAGTGGGATTCCTGCAGCTGAGGAGGGAGAGGGATCAGAGCTGCCTTTCACCCTAAGGACATTCTTTCTCCTCTGCTCCTGTGACTCGCCCAGCCCACATTTGAAATGCAGCGACCACCGCATGTCGAGGCGCAAGTGTGCGGCGCGCTCCTCTGGCCTTTAACCTTTCCATTATGGAGTTGCACCTGTGGCCCTCAGGTGTCTGCTGGATCGCGCTGTCCTGAACCTCTGCAGCCTTTTCTCATCTTCTCCAGGCTGTAAGCTCTCCGGGACCAGGGCTGTTGGTTTCAGGGCTGCGCCGTCAGATCCCGAGGCATTTAGTAGCTTTCTGTTGGGATCTGCAAAGCTAAAAAGTGCCGGGAGACTTAGTACAAACTGCGCGGGGAAGGGGAAGAGATGGAACGAGCGGAATGGGTGTGGTTCCTTAGGTTGCTGCTACCTGGAAAGCCACACACAACCGCTGGTAGGTCTCTCCCAGGGTGTGGCGAGAAGGACCTGGAAGGAGGTGGCAAGGAACGCAACCTCCGTCACTTAGCAGATGCTGAGGCCAAGACTCAGTTGCCAGGCAACGGCTGAGCGCCGACGCCGGGAAGGACGCAGAAACCCCACAAGCTGATGCTCGAGGCCCGGGCTCCCTAGGCAGAGGGACCGGCCAAGACTGAGTAGCGGGGGAATGGACCCCGGCCACGTGAAAGAAAAGGAGGAAGAAGAGGAAGAGGAGGAGAGAGTAGGGGAGGGAGAGGAGGAGGAGGAGGAGGAAGAAATCACTGCCTCCACTCTGCGGGCCAAGCCCCGATGTTTGCCCATCTCAGCGGTGCCAGCTTTCAGCTACATCCCGCCGCGGCGCCAGGACCCCAAGGAGCACAGCTACTTTCAGCGGGAGAGCCAGGTGAGCTAGTCCCCGAGGAAAGAGGGGAGGGGAGGGGACCTCACTACCCGGGAGGGCCCGGAGGCTGGAAGGGGCCGTGATGGAGGCGGGGCTTCAGGGCTAGGGAGAGGCCTGGGGCGGGGCTGCATTGCTGGAGTTGTTCAGATAGTGATGAGACCGGGCTTCAGGGATAGTGTAACCCTGTGGCCAGAGGGCTGGGACTGAGCCCTTAGGATGGTGCCAGGGGCAACCTGCCAAGGGTCGGGGACAAGGTACATGGCAAGCGGCGTCAGAGATGGTGTGACCGCAGGGCAGAGGGTGGTTCCAAGGACAAGCTGTACTGAGCTGCAGGGACCAGAGGAGTTGTGTAGGAGAGTGGTGTGCGCAACACTGTGCAGTGCACGGAAGCGTCCTGGCCTACAGTGGTTACGGGGGCTGGTTCAGGGCTTTACGTTGAAGGACCCTAGCCTTTCAGGCTTACACCTCCAAGCCTCAGGAAAAAAACTTCAAGCACCAGGAAATGAGAAACTAAAAATATAGTTCCAAGGGCAACCTGACTTAGCCATTGTTCAATCTCCCCTGCAATCATATAACAATGTAAAAAGATTTCTGTTAAGAGATGTGCTCAACTGTGACTGGGATAGTTGCAGGTGTTCCAGGAAGGACTGTTGCTGGAGGGCTTCTCTCCAGGTTCCCCAAGCCCAGCAGTCCCACAATCCACGTATAAAATAATCACTCAGACGCTTGTAATACTTATAAACTGTATGGCCGTGGAAGGCTTCTTGCTAACTGTTCTTTTATCTTAAATTAACCCATTTCTATAAATCTATACCTTGCCACATGGCTGGTGGCTTACCAGTGTCTTCACATGCTCTTGCCCTGGCGGTGGCTGCAGTGTCTCCCCATCTTCTTCCTGTTTCCCCAATTCTCCTCTCTCCTTGTCCCACCTATACTTCCTGCCTGGTCACTGGCGATCAGTGTTTTATTTATATAGAGTGATATCCACAGCAAAGGACCACTGTGACCTTTCTGTAAACTCCACTCCCGCCCTGATATTCCCCCTTGAGGTTTCAGGAAGAATGTACCTGTTGATGTAACTGTACCCCCTCTGTGATCACTCTGTAACTTGTGAAATGAAATTGTATGGGAATTGTAATCTTATGGCTTTTATGGGTTTTTCCTTTAAAAGCCCCCATGGGGCTGCAGTGAGATGCGACTCTTGCTCTTGGGAAGAGGAGCCCTTCTGTACAGAAGCTTAATAAATTCTCCTGCTATTGCATCAACTGGAATGGAGTATGGGTTCTTGGGGCACCCTCTTGAGACCCTAAATTTTGGGGTCCAACAATCTAAGTTTGATTGTTGCTAGGGCTGAATACCGGAGTCCTGGGCAGGGCCCCATGTGACTGCTTATGAAGGGCTAGAATGTGATGTGGGGACACTGGAGGGCCAGGCATGGTTAGCAGGCAAGAGAGACCTTCAGCAGAGGGACAACGACCCCAAGAATAGGGACACCACAACCGGGTGTAGGCCTGCCTCTCAGGAAGTGAGGGTGGGCAGGGTGAGCCTGACCCAAGTGAAATGTGCAGTGAAAACAAGCCTTAGCCCCAGTAAAGATGCCTATAAGGTCCAGGGTGCTGGAAACATCTGTCCTCTAAATGGCAGAAACAAGAAGGAGAGTGTCTTAGTTACTGCTGCTGTGATGAAACACCATGACCAGAAGCAAGTTGGGGAGGAAGGGGCATATTTGGCTTACATTTCCACGTCACTGTTCATCATCAAAGAAAGTCAGGACAGGAACTCCGACAGGGCAGGAACCTGGAGGCAGGAGCTGATGCTGAGGCTGTGAAGGAGTTGCTGCTCAGTGGCTTGCTCATCAGTCTGCTTCCTTGTAGAACCCAGGACCACCAGCCCAGGAATAACCCCGCCCACCAGGGACTGGGCCCTCCCCCATCCATCACTAATTAAGAAAATGCCCTCCAGGCCTGCCTACAGTCCCATCTTGCCAAGGCACTCTTTTAACTGAGGTTCCCCTCTTCTCAAATGACTTCAGTTTGCTTCAGGTTGAAGTTAAGCTATCCATCACAAAGAGCGTGAGCGGTGAGTGCTGAGAGAGCTGGGCTGGGCTGGGAGCTGCCGTCTGATTCTGGCTTAGGGACACTGGGCACTTGCTGGTGCTGGACGTGACTCTGTGGTCCGAGGCAGGCGCGGTGCTCTGTCCACCAGGCACTAATACAGAAGAAGCAAATTTAGGCTCCATGGGGTCATTTGTTCCTACTTTTCACTATTGTGACTAAATATCACCAGTGCATCCTGCTGAGGATGCCTGATTCAGGAAGACATTGTGGAAAAGAGACATTAAATATGGATGCTAGGCCCCAATGGTGTTTTTTTGTTTGTTTGTTTGTTTGTTTTTGGTTTTTTTTTTTTTTTTTGCTGTGGCACTGTATGAGTTGCCCAGAAGAGGGATGTGGATTAATCAAGTGCCTGGGATGAAGGAGGCCATTTATTCCTTCATAGTGTCTAAGGTGTTCCCACATGATATAGTCTTCCTATCCTCCCACTGGCAACCCCAGAGCTCAAGTGAATCCTCTTCCTTCACAACAGGCCAGCACACATGGAGTGTCAGGCACACATCATGTAGCTCAGGACCCCAGCAACAGGGACCATTCTTGGTGTAGTCAACTTTAGTGTTCGAACTCTGAAAATTCCTGGTGTAGAGTCCTGATTCCAATACCACAGAATGCAAACTGACCCAGAGGCACAATTCTAAAGTGGCAATCAAACTGAGGTGACCTGTGGGGGTAGCCCCTAACTCGATGTACCTGAACAGGGAAGCTTGCAGAGACAGGCATGCATAGAAGGAAAAAGATGCGAAAATGTAGAATGAAAACTTCTGACGAAGGGATATGAAGAATGCAGCCAGGAGCATAGTCTTCCCTAATAGTCCCCTGAAGGAACAACCGGAGAACGACTGATTCCATGCTGCTGGCTGCCAGCACCAGGAGACAATTACCGATTGTCGTTTAAGCCCTTTGTCCGTGGGACTATTCTAGCAGTTCCAGCACACCAAGTCAGCAACCATAAGCCCCAGCCCACTCCCAGAAGGGCCTCTTATCTAACAACAGCACATCTGTTGATGGTTGAGCAATGTGGAAAGACAGAAGGAACAAGGTGTGTGTGTGTGTGGGGGGGGGGCTTCTGTCATCAGATCTGTCTACCCAAGCCTTGGAAATGTGCTGGGATTTTTAGAAGGGACTGGGGTGCATAGCTATGGTTTCTAACCTCACTGCTGCCATGGACCCCATTCTTCTTTCTGTGTCCAATATCCTTAAACTGGCTGGCCAGGCATTGAGGTACATGTTTGTTCCCAGCATTTATGAGTCTGAGGCAGGAGGATTGAGAGTTCAAGGCCAATTTGGGCTATGTCGTAAGACCCTGTCTACAAAACTAACCAAATATATAAATAAACTCTTATCTATAAATAAGTTTATATATGGAATGAACTTCACATAAGTGTGCAGTGCCTATAACATCGCCAATTTTATGATTAAAACTGTGTTGAGCCACAGAATGTGACAAAGAGCCCAGAAGTCTGTGCTGACATAATGAAAACGTTCATAACACATCACCTTGAGGGGTTCTGTGAAATACTATCCTGGTGTCTCCAAAGAACTGGGATTTCAAAAGTTAGCAGATGGGAGCAAGATAAATATGCATCAAAGACAGAGGCTACCTTGCAGGATGATGGAGCTAAAGATTCTGGGTACATGAATATCAAACTATTTATTGACCACTGTTTCATTATCTACAATAAATAAGCAATGTTCAGCTAGATAACATTCTGAACACTATAGAATTATTTTCCCAGCTCCAGCTGAACCACTAACCCAATACTGAACAGTTTAGATTTACACCAAAGGGACTCTTAGGGAGGCAGTTAGGTATCACATGATTAGAGGGCGCTGGTGCTGGACCCATCTCTCATAACAGCTTCTACATCTGGAAGTGCAGGACTCTGACATCTGCTGGGAGGAATGGGAGGGACACGCACTGACGCTCTGGCCCTGAGAAGAGACTTTACATCCTCAGCCTGCCTGGAAGGCCATTGACAGATGATTATCTAAGCCTGATTCCAGAAGTCCTAAAGTTTATATAATTACTACAAAACAGGCGACTTTCTGATGAAAACCCAGGACATACCCCACCCCCACCCCGAAGTCAAATTGAATAGGCTGCCAACCATTTGGACAGAAAGGCTTCTGGGAAAGGTGTTTGTTCCAGAGCCTTCGGAAAGTGCAGACCAGGGCAATGTTCTCTGGCCACCGTCCACTGTCCCTCCCCGAGAATGTGCCCTCCTCTCTCCTGTCTGTCCCCCACACTGCACGCTGTGTGTCTTGTCTGAGTTATTTCAGTGGAAGTCACAAAGACCAGACATCTGCAGGGAGACCACAGCAAGGTTCCCGAGACAGAATGAGTTGGGTCAAAGAAAAATTATGCAAGCTAATAACTGCAAATGTAAAATTTTGTTCCCCCATTTATGCTAGTGGGTCCTAACTGGCAGTTCATCTGGTCACACGAACTACATTTCCATGAGCACTCTCAGCTATTCAGTACTCAGATTTCAACTGTGCATAAAAGAGTGGTTCCCTAGAGGACCCTTCAAATCCCCGCTTAAGCCTTGCTTAGCTTATTAAACCAGGATCTGTCTGGCTCGCTTGTCTGGGTGGGGAGTTGCTGGTACTGGCAAAATCTTTTCTTTAAGGAATTTTGTGCATAAATAGTCGAATATATGTGATGGTGCAGATGTGAAATCTGACACAGCTGTTTTTGAGTCACTGCCTGGGTTAGGACCAGAGAATCAACCATAGAATTTGAAAGTTTATGCTTCAGGTACATTTTGAACTGAACCTGAATGCTTCCTTGGGTTGGTTAGAATGGAATCTGAGGAATATGGGCATGGTTTTGTTTCCGTGGACATTTAAGAACAAAAACTACTTATATAGATATCTTATGTATATACA